CAATTGTGTTGTGTTCTTGTATAGCTCTAATGGCTGGTTTCCGCCATCTGTAATATCTTGTAATATTGTCCTCAGAAATATGGGCTCTGGAAGCAGCAGGAATGTTAATTTGGGTATTCCATTGCTGCAATAGGTCACGGCCCCATAAATTCACTGCAATATTTGCTACATATGGCCTTAGTTTTCCTATTTGTCCGTCTGGACCTATACAATTGACCCATCTCGTGCTTTGTCTTACTCGAGATAGGGTTCCAATTCCTAAGAACTGAATATCTACCTCCTGAAGAGGCCAATGCGGATGCCAAGACTCTGGTGTAATGATACTTACATCCGCACCTGTGTCCAGTAAGCCAGTAATAAGTTTGCCATTTACACACACTCTTAGCTGTGGCCTTTGTTCATTTATAGAAGTCTGCCAGAATATTCGTTTACTTTGTCCTCTTAGATTTCTTGATTCATTCACCACATTTAACTCATCCTTCAGGCCGTTATTGCTTTTAACAGCAGGCATGGGGCATTCTAATTTCCCTGAAGAGGCATGTTCTCTGCAGTGATCGGAAATGACTGGACCACATTTGCCATGGGGGCCTTCGAGAGGCCCCCTATTGAGTTTCCCGATGGCAACGGGTTGCCCTGTTTATCTCTTGTTGACCTACACTCATTCGTCCAATGCCTGCCCTTTCCACATCTCCTACATAAACCTGAAGGCTAAGTCCTCCTATTCCTGTTATTCCTAGAAGAGGCATTATTCCTGGACTTCCATTGTCTGCAGTCCCTTTTCATGTGTCCCATTTTGCCACAATGAAAGCATTTTGTAATCTGATGTCTCCTTTTACCTTTGGAAATTGCTTCTTGTACCCATGTTTCATTGCCATAATCAAATGTATCAACATTCATTGTATGTAAAACCCATTCGTCCAAAGGCGCTGATCTGAGCTTTAAAGGCCCCAGGATCCTTTTGCATTCTACATTGGCATTCTCATAAGCCAAAGACTCAATTACTATATTTCTTGCTTCTGGATCAGGTATCCCTATTTGTACAGCCTTAGTTAGTCGTTGCAAAAAGTCACTAAAGGGTTCTCTCTGACCCTGTTTGACCCTGACATACGATTCTACTCTCTGACCTGAGTCTTGAACCCTGTCCCAGGCCCTTAGAGCTGCTGTAGCACATATGGATAAAATGTTTTCATCATAAAGAGCTTGTTCCTGAGGATCAGAGTAAGGTCCTTCCCCTAGAATTTGATCTAGAGAAACCTCAATTCCTTTCGCTGATTCTTGTTGTTGTAAAAGTCTGGCCTCTTGTTTGAATAGGCATTTGAAATGCCATAAAGGTCCGTTCTCAAGGACAGCTGATGTGAGCTGGTTCCAATCTTTAGGGGTGGCCCTGTTGCTCAGAGCCCAGGATTTTAACATCTCCCTAACAAAGGATGAATGTAGTCCATAATTCACAATTGCTTGTTTAAATTCTTTCAGATCATTCATACGTATAGGCTCCCATGTATGTTCTTTAACGACCTTAGGGTTTTTGGAGCCAGTTATCTTTTCTGATGTTATTACTGGAAAGGCAGGTATAACTCTATGTAGACTGAGAGTTTTTTGAGGTGAAGGTTGCCTTTCTACCTTTTGCTCCTGTTCATCAGAGTCTATGATTTCCTCAATCTTATTAAATCTGCTCACCATTGCCTTCTGTAAGTCCTGAATCTCCTGTCCAGTATTATGCTCCAAAGCCTTCATTAACGATTCTAAGGCATGGAGCTTGTCCGTCAGAGACACGATATCCTCCTTGGACATAATCCTCATGGCATGTACTGTGCCTTCTTGTATGGAAATCCTGTCAATTAATCTATCATACCCTTTTGATAAAGTCCGATTTTCACATTCAATGGTTATAATCCTCTCAGCTAATGTTTCAGCACTTACAGTCATGGACTGGAGGTTATGCGTCATTTTGGTTGTCCCCTCCTCCAGGGCAGTGACGCTCCCTTCTAAAGAAGCAATATCAGACTGTACCTTCTTGATATTTTGGCCAGTTGACCGAGTCATATCAAACAAAGATCTATTCTCCTCCTTGAGAACTCCAAACTCTGATCTAGTCTCCTGCTTGAAAACTCCAAACTCTGATCTAGTTTCCTCCTTGAAATCTCCAAACTCTTTTTTGAGGAGGTTGGTATCAGTCTGAATTGTTCTTAAGGTTTTAATCTCTGCCCTCAGCATTGTAGATTCAGTCTGTAAGGACTGTATCTTTCTTATAAAATAGCCAAACACCAGAAAAGCAACAGATCCCAGGAATAACAAAGTAAGAGGATTATCTGAGACATCCTTCAGAATATCCTCCATAGCGCAACTGAAAAAACCATTGAACTTTTGGATAGTAATATTTTCCGACATTTTCAATCAAAGGAAATTGTACTTGTATGTATGTATGTATGTATGTATTTATTTTCAACCGAAAAGAAAAATCTTACCTGTAATGACCGTTGCCTGCCAGTAGGAGGTGGGGCGCACCTGAATCCACGTGGCAGTGGTGTTGATTGAGGAAGTAAACTCTAGAATATATACACTCAAATCCAGAGGTTAAATCCACAGATCACAAAAGGTCAGAGAGCTTCTAGTGGCCAATAAACAAGGCAATAAACAAGGCCCTGCTGCTCTGTTCAACCGGATGCAGAGGGTCGTGACACAGCCACTGCGCTGTTGCTAAAGAGGCCTAGTGCTTTGGGCCCCGTGTCCCTGTGCTGGGATTAAGGGTCAAGCTGCTTTCAGCACTCCTAATCAGTTATGGGTTTCAAACAGCTTGCTGGAACTTCAAAGGGAGCTTGCGCTGTGAGCTCTTTGACTCACGTTGCAAGGAGAAATTTAAAAATCCGTGCCGAACAGGGCAAAGTAAGCTGGCAGAGACTGTCCGGACCTGTGTATCCTGGGAGGCCGAGCTGGGGGTGGGGGGTGGGGCGGTTCTTAAACCAAACGCTGGGCGCCAATTATTAACGAATCAATCCCACACCAGTTATGTTTTAAGGGGTTATTTATTTGGCGGGGGTAAAACTTACATACACCATAAACCGTCAGGAAGGGAGCCTAGTCGCTGGAGCAGGAGCCGGGAGCAGCAGCCGAGACCGAGCACCGGAACCAAGAGCCGGAACCAAGAGGGCCTTATCCGGAACTGCTTCTCTTTTTAAAAGAGAAATATACCACGCCCCAGTGGGCTGGTATTTTAGCAGCTATTGGCTGACGGAGCGGAAGTCGCTCCCCGCTGCACTGTGGGCTCCTGCTTCAGTGATTATTGGTTGAGGCAGCGGAAGTTACTCCCACAACATAGCTCAGTATCTCTAGACCAGTGATGATTTTGCAATGGCCAGAGAAGTTCTTTTGGTTATCACAACTGGGAAAAAAGTATACTATAAACACCTAGGAGGTAGATAGGAACCCTATAAAACAGCCTGTAATGTCCAGTAGCACCCTGTCTCAACATACAGGGTTATCTGACCCCGTATCAGTAGTTCTAAGATTGGGGCAGCCATGTAGGTTACTGGTAGGTTACATGAATCAAATGATGGCTGTAGACTGCCCCAGTTGTGAGCAAGAGTGGCAGAGTTGTGCTGCTGCTGTTATTTTCTTGGAAGGAAAGTCTTTAGCATACTTGTAAAGCAAAGTCTTTAGCATACTTGGAAGGCAGAGGAAAATGCCAGTGTAGACAGAGAACGACATGAAGGATAAAAGTGAGAGCTGGGACAGCTAAGGAGGCAAAGTCTGCAGGTAATTATATCAACCATTTGGCACAAGGGATACATTCCTAGTATTCAGTTTCAAAGTAAATGCATTTCTAAAGAATTTGAACCAAAGAAATAATCTTCTAAGACAAATCATAAAATGGTCCAGTGAACTCTGAAGTTGATCAGCAGTGTCCACAACATAATAACAGTAAGAACAGTTATCTCATAACATGTGGTGTGTGAACTGCCCTTTGTCTGTACGGCTTTGTACATGCTGCTGGATCTCAGTCTCTTTTCCTCACCTGAAACAGAGGCAATGAAAGCCTTAAGACACTGGCTGCCTGGCAGGTAGGAAATATTTACTTTTGGGTGGTAGTGGCAGGAGACTGGGTGGTACTGGCTGGACTGTGTTCATGCTAAACAGGTCCTCTACCCGTTGCTGTGCTGTGTGCTATACCCCCAGCCCAGAGTTCTCTCAAACAGGTAGGTGTTCTGTGTGGCAGTCATTTATATTCATAATGGCATGGTGGCTTCCCCTGAAGAGCGTGGTGTGGTTGAGATATTCTGACACATAGCAATGGTTCTTTGGCTTTGGGGAGGGATCTCCACTTTTGGGTCATTTGCTGACATGAACTTTGACTTCTTTTGGAAAGAAAGAGTTGTTTGAGTTAAAATTGAACCCTTTATGGTGTTAGAATTTATAACCTATATATTTTATAGTCTCTGTTTAAGTGCTTGACATGATTTAGAAAAGTACGTTCCCATTTTTAATATAATGCATAGGCTTAAATATCTTAAGTGCATAATAGTAAGGCCCATATGTGAATTTGTGCCAATAAACTATGTCTTGTTCTCAACAAACGGCTTATTCTGTGGGTTTGGTTGAAGTCCCGAAAGTACATTAGTGACACAAGGTTGGCCATGTCAAGGATCCTAGTGCCTCGGACCCACAGGAATGGCACAGCCTTCCTGATGAGGCTTGTTGACAGCTGATCTTGGTTAGAGCCAGCACATACAGAAGCTGTTCAGCCGCCCCCTCTTCATGCTGTCTGTAATGGGCACTGAGTTCCACATGTTGGTGGCCTGTCTCCTTCAAAGCGCACAACCCGCCCGATCCCAGCCTTTCTGTGTGTAGGTCTGTCACCTCGGGCAGGTCAGTCCCAAAGCCATGCAGGGTGTGACGTATGTCCATACCTGAAAAATACCCTTGTGTTATCCCTCCAGCGGTGGTGTTTCCACTCTCTGACTTGTCTGTCCATGAGGGTTTATTCTGTGCCTGTTTTCTTTCAGGTCAGCAGAAACATGTCAGAAAGAAGATGACCTTGACAGTCTTATTAATGAGATATTTGAGGAGCCAAACTTTGACAAAAAACCTTTTGTAAGTCATGTTATAAGTGTACAGTATTTCTGTCATTATTTAAGATACTTAGAATAGTCTCAAAAGTTAAGGCAGAGTAGCCATCCAGTTGTAATCCTTTGAACTCTGAGAAGTACACATGAAGAAGTTATTCCACTTAAACAATTGTAGAGGGTAATACGTTAGAAACTCTGTCTCTGTTGACGTCCCAGCAAGAGTAAGAAATTGGAAAAGCTGCTAGTGGAGAAGTCATCCCACACAGGTCTAGCTGTCGCTTAGATGTCTTTAGTGTCTAAGAACACATTTCTCAAAGGCCTAAAGCAGTTGGCTTTCAGTACAGGAACGCTTTTAGTGTCTAGAATACAGTGACATTAATGTTATCCCCCAAAACAGTGGATTTGACTAAATTGTAAATACTTAATACTTTAAATGTTCATCTATCTTAGCTTTAGTAACAGCCACCTATATACTACTGTGTGAGGGACTCTTCATACCATCGTTCTGAACATGTCGATATTTTGCTCTATTTTATTCTCTGAACTTCTTTAAATTAACTGACCCTTCCTAATTGGCATACAGTGTAGTAGGTTTCCATGTGGCTTTTTCATACACTGTTTTGGTTAACCCTCCCTTCCTCTCTTCCTCATCTCCTCACCCCCCACTGCCACCCTGCTTAAACCTTGCCCCTGTAATACCTGTTCTGTTTTCTAAGACCCCTCCAGACCAGCCTCCACACCAGCGGCCTCCTCTTCTTCTCTGGCATCTTCAGATAGTCAACGTGATTTTATTCTGCCTTCCTTCCCAGATAGAACCTCTGTTCTTTGTATCCACATATAGCTTAAATGTCTTAAGTACAGTGTAAGGTGCATATGTAAATTTGTACCAATAAACCATATGTTTGTCTTAACAAACAGCTTATTTCTGTGAGCTTGGTAAGTCCTGAGTGAATGTGAATTTCTGTATTAGTTTGGTTTTTTGTTTGTTTTGTTTTTGCTAATATATCTGGTTTTCCAACTAGATAAAGGAGAGAGCAAGTCTGTATAAAATATTTACCAGCTAAAGAAAGCAGGAATCGTAGTGACTTGCATCCCCACATTGTCAGGAGGGCGTCCGCTGTGTCCTGGGAGCCCTGCCCTTCACCCTGGCTTCTGTGCTCTCAGTGCAGTTTGAAGGTGCCCGTGGACACAGACATAAACCCCAGGAACCACCAGTCAGTGTTAGTGGCCAGCTTAGCGTCACACTGTGATCCTGCACCGTGCGGGGGCGAGCGTGCTGCCCGAGCGCCTGGTGACGCTTTATGGGTACAGCAAAATAGCTTCCTGTGTAGCATCAAGTAAAAATTAAAAGAGATGGATAAGTGAAATTTTTTGCCTCTTAAACTTCCTCAGCCGCCCTGTGAAATGAAGGCATGTCTATGCATAGTTTTAGGGGCCATTTCCCTGTCTTGCTTTCTCTTGCTGGCAGTGGTCCTAGTATGTGGTTGGTTTATGATGTCTGCTACTTCATACAGTTAACACTTAATAAATGCCTACTCACGACGGCAATGTTATCAGAACATAAGGAACTACTGTACGCTGTGACCAGGTAGCTCGGCTTTTCCATGCTCATATGTTGCTTGATACCATTACACTTGATCAAAATTAATAATCCCGAAGTTGTACAGAAATTCAATTTTAGTTTAGATAAGTACAATTCAAAACCTTTTAAAATGGGCCTGGGGTTGTTCCCCCCTCTTCAGTTGAGTTTTTCCCGAATGAAGTTTTAAGCAGGTCCTTCATCTGAGATCACTGCAGAGGTAGAAAGTGACGCTGAGTCTCCGTGTGCTGGGGCAGCGGAGCAGTTCTTAGAGGGCGAGCACTGTCCTTCCCTCCTGCCTTTAGAAAGTCTCCATCACTGTTGTGGGCATTCGGGAAAACCACCACCAAATGTTTAGTACATCATTTTAAAATGCTATTGTTATAAAGTAGTTCTCTAAGCCTTTGGTCTTTTATTTTTGTTTTTTTTTTAGCAAAAATTTAAATCTAAATCTTCAAGTAACACATCTGTCAGAGCCTCCGTTCAAGGCCTCAGTAAGAGGTAAGTGGGGACTGCTTGGTGAGTTCTCCGCGGAGCGAGCAGAGGCCGTGAGGATGGGCCGGTAGACTCTGTGGCCATTTCAGCAGCAGTGGCATTGAAGGACAGAGCGCCAGTTGGCCTTGAGACAAAAGACCACTAGCAATATCTGGGGTGTGCTTAGGATCTATGGCCCACTTAGTGTAAAGGAAATTAAATGGGAAATTATTGCTATTATAAATAATTTTCTGCTGTGTTAAAAAAGTGTTAACAGTTTCTCAAAATTAATGTTCTGTTACATGCTTTAGTATTGACTTTATTCCTTACATTATTGGCACTCATTTTAACTCCTGAGTGTTTCTGGGTGCGGGTTATATGCTATGGAGGGTGATCCTGAAATAAATGTGTCCTCCTTGAAATGGCTGGCTTGCTGCGGGAGGTGTGTAACATGATCACTGGGACATAGACTGAGACCGGCTGACCTCTCGTGTTTCTCTGTTGTTGTTGTCATTTTGTTTTTCTCCATCTGCTGAACACATCTAGTTGCAGTCCGGTGTATCTCAGTGGAAGCGCCATTCCGTGTGGTATCGGAACAAACACCTCGCCGAGGTAGGCTGCGGGAATGCAGTGTGCATGTGCTGGGCTGTGCTTTGGTAGAGTGTGCTGCCTTGGCACCCGTCCGCTCTACAGTGAGAGCTGTGTATCGTACCAGCCAGTCCAGGCCAGTCCAGGCCAGTCCAGGGACACTTTGGTAACTCATTTAATATTCCTGGGAAGTAACTATTCAAGGCTGAGCTGTGCAGGTGGCACATGCCTGTAATCCCAGCCTGTGGGAGGCTGGGGCTGGGTGTTCACTATAAATCCAAGGCCAGGCCAGCCTGAGCCAACACAGCAAGATCTATATTTTTTTTAAAAAATGTTGTAATGTCGGGTATGTATTGTTCATTGTTGTGGTGCCTTTTTCTGAGCCCCACTTGGATCACTTGAGTCCTACCCAGGTTTTTACAGAGCAGCAGGAGCATGTGCAGATGTGAAAGGCTGACTCGTGGAGGCAAACTGAGGCAGCTATATAGCAGATGCAGTGCCTTGGCCTCACTGATTGGGCCAGAAGACATGAGAAAGTAGAGGTCTGTGTTAAGCAGAGTTCTCAAGCCTGGCCTTACGTTTCTAAAACAGAAACCTGCCATTTCCTGTCTCTTCCCACCCACTTTACGGCCCTGCCCTCACGTAGAGTTCTTCTTTAGGTAGAGTCAGGGTGCCACTCACTGCAAACCCCTGTTCCTTCTAGCACATTCCTTTACCATTTTCACAGGTTGGGAGAAAACTGACGGTAAGCAAATGTTTGCGCTGCCTGCTACGTTTGATCTGTCTCCGGCAGAGACCCGCTTATCTACATTGCTCATTATCTGTTTGCCTACTTGTTCCTAAAGCACTTTTTTCTTTTTATTCATTTTTAAGAAGAAAAACTTGGTCAAGTGATTGCATATTGAGCACACTTCTGAATAATAGAAGTGGGGCCACAAAAAGAAATGGGGAGTTGGGGGTGATGCCAGCCTGGATTAGTAATCCAGGAAGGAGTAGCCATAAGACCAGAGTGAAGTTGGGAAGCAGAACGCTGCCTGCTGTCTAAAGAACTGGAAGCAGTTAGTCCTCCTGTGCTGAGCCCTGTCCCAGCAGACTCAGGTTCAGACTGACCGTAGAGGAAGCTCTGGTCTTGCTGTCTGCCCTGGTCGACCTGTTAGGTCGGTTGTGCTCCCTCATTTTCAGAGCTATGTCACCTGCAGGCGACTTTTGTCACGTTGCCAGGAACTACAGCGGCAATTTCTGCCCTCACCCACTCCAGCTTCTCAAAGCTCACACGCATCCATCCAGCCTTCAAGATGGCAGAGCCGAAATGCCTGTCTCCTGTCCCGTGTCAGCCGAAATGCTGTCTCCAGTCCCATGTCAGCCGAGTTGCCACCTGCGCCTCTCTCGCTCTACGCTCACTACTGTGCTTACTAAAATGTGTGATCTTCCTCTTTTCTCTAGTTCTTCCCTAAATAAACCCTGAGGCAGGTGCTGTTTGTACTCGAATTCTCCTGCCTCCCAGAATCTTAGCATCTGTCCCATCTGGGAGGGTGCTCCTTCCTAACACACATCCCCTCTCGTCTCAGGTGCTCTGTTCACATTAGTTATTCAGATTCATTTTCTTACTCCATTTTAATGTCTTTCTTGTTTGTTTCTTCTTCTAAATGCTTTGAATGTACGCCCAAGCCCTGTGCTAGTTGACCAAGGTGAAGTGACCAGTGGAGAAGCAGGGAAAGGTGAGGCTTAGTGTAGAGCCTGGAAGGGAAGGGCGGGCTCTGGGGGGCAGCATGCCTGTCACTCGGCCCTGCCCACCCCCTCCCTTAAGAAGGAGTGTGTCTTCTAAAGCCTCGCTCAATATCCTCACCTTTAAAAAGCAAACATGCTCTTTGCAGATATCGTGAGACCTTTCACAGCACCACAGGAAAAAGTCACAGGCTGCCAGATGACGTGGAATTTGGGAAATAAAGCAGAAGAGGGTCCAGAAGAGGAGTCACTGGGGCTGAATTCTCCACAGTGTAGGGAAAAGAGAAAGGGAGCTAACTGTGACCTGGGTGTGACTGACTGTAAGGAGAGGAAGTTAGATTTCAGATTTAGAGTGTGGAGTTGAAAGAGTTTGGAGAATAAATGTCTGTGGTGGAGAAGACAGTGAGTAACAGCTTCCAGAGCCAGCAGGGGGCTCAGTGGACAGAAGTGCATTGCAGCCAACTTAGTGACCTAAGCTGGATCCCAGAACCCACATGGTAGACAGAGAGAACCAATTCCTGGAGCTTGTCCTCTGACATCTACACATTCACACCCAGAAATAAATACGTGAATGAGAAGAATGCCTTCTAAATAGCCCAGTCTACTAACCTATAGTGTTATGTGCCTATAACGCCAGCACTTGAGAATGTGAGATAGGAGGCTTGCCACAAGTTTGAGAGCAGCCTGGACTACAGAGTAAGACCAGGCCGGCCATAACTACATAGCAAAATCCTGTCTCTTTACCCAGCCCTGGACAAAAAAGGCTCCCAGGTGATGTATCCAGAATCAGTGAATGCTTTGTCACAAAGCAAGGGCTCAAGCTGGTAACCCGGTCCTTGTGTCAGATCCACTATGTGAGAGGAAGGCTCTTAGCTGCTTCCACGGTTAGAGCTGCTGCTTGAGTTTTTGTTTTGATGTGAAGGGTCTTGTAGCCCAGGCTACACCACTCACCATACAAGAAGAATTAGAACTCCTGATCCTCCTGCCTCTGCCCCTCAAGTGCTGATTACAGGCATGTGACGCCATACCTAGCCAGCCAATATTACTTTGAAACTGTCCAAGTATCAAGCCTTTCTAGCCCTATGTGTAGATCAGATTGGATTTAACTAAGAACTGTAGAGTCTGGGCGGTTATGTGGAAGAACTATTCTGGACATTCCCACTATAAACATCCATAAAATGGTCAGTTCTGCCTAGCAGTTGGATAAACATAGAAACACCTTCATATTTTCGGGAAAATACTTAATTTATTCTTTATCAGAATCATAATTTTGTATTATTTTATGCTAACAGATATTTGACTTACAATGGCTCCAACGTGGCTAACACATTCAGTTCATTAGCCATATTTTAATTTTTAAATTTTTAATAATTTTTGTCTTTTCCCAGTATGTAGTGTGGTTCTCTCTGGGTGCTGGGCAGGGGACAGTGAACCACTCAGTCGCAAGGTTAGCAACCAGCAATCTTACTTTATATTGTGTTGTATGATAGTTACATATGCTACACGCCATTTTCACTTAGGAGGGGTTTATTGGAACATGACCTTATCATAAAGTGAGTTTCGATAGTGTGTTGTTTCAATATATTTTACTAATATACTTTTTTCAGTAATATTTCTGTAACAAATAAAACAAACCAATTATTAGACTTTTTACTTTGAAATTAAAATACAGGCTAGGAAGGTGGCACATGCCTGTTACCCCAGTACTTTTAAGATGGAGGCGAAGATCATCATCGGCTAATGGTGAGTTCAAGGCCAGCCTGGCTGTATGAGACTATCTCAGACTTTAGATATGTAACTTCTAAACTGAATAACACTGGAAAACTTTTGGTCTCAAAGTTTCCTTGAGAATTGAATATTTCTGAGTATCCACCACAACCACACATCTACAGTGCTTCACAGGAACTCTGTACACTGTTGGTGGCTGCTGAGGCTGTGCAGTTCCTGGGGCATTTCAACCCAGCTGCATTCTAAGACTTGAATGATGGTCCCCACGCCTCCCGTAACTGTGTTCTTATGCAGATGTAGTTTATTACATGCTTACAACAGAGTGTTAACTTTAATGCCTTAATACACATGTGCAATTTGGCTGAATTATTGCTATTGTGGGAACCATAATTTAGATTTTCATGACATTTTGTGTAAAACCTCAACCATTATGTTTAATATAGTTTTAAATTTAAAATTTATTGGTTCATCAAATCTATTCACACTACTATATTTTCTTACAAACGCTGTCCTATGAGAAAACTAAAGCCAATGTGCAGCTAAGAAATTATCCCGTTGCTGTGACGCTCTCCGAGACCCTGACCAGTGACGGCCGGCCTGCAAGGAGTTTACAAATACATTAACCTACAAACAAGGAGAGAACTGATTTGGCTTGAAAAGGATGCCTCAGCTGGGTGGTGGAAGTGTACACCTTTAATCTCAGCAGTGAGGAGGCAGAGGCAGGTTGATCTCTGTGAGCTGGAGGCCAGCCTGGTCTACAGAGTGAGTTCCAGGACAGCCAGGGCTACACAGAGAAATGCTGTCTCAAAAAACCATAAACAAACAAACCCCCAAAAACAGAAAAAAAAAAATAAAAAACCAAAACTAGCCACCTCCTAGTTAAAAAAAATAAATAAAAATAAAAAATAAAAACCAAAACCAAAAGGAAAGGATGCCCAGTCTTCTCTAGACCACTTGTCCAGGACACCGCGTTCCCACCACACTCCACATCCTTCCCACCCGCTGGGCAGACTTCAGTGTCCACAGTCCGCTCACAATCTGCATCAGCCCTACAGCGGAGCTCAGAGCAGGAACCCAATGAGTGAAACAAACAAGCGCGGCACAGCTGACTGTACACACACACACACACTTTAAAACCTATCTCTCAGTCTTTCAGTCATTTCTTTGAACTGTAAGTTTCTAGGTCACAGTTCTATTTAAAGCTTTCATTATATAAAAAGCCTCCAGGTGTTAGAAGCCTAAGTCCTTATTAGATGAAGTAAACAGCAAAGCGCCACTGTGGAGGTCCTAAAAAGGAAAGCTTTGCTAGATATCTTCCCTCTAATGAAATCGAAGACACCAACTACTTTCAAGGCCTTGTGCTCTGAGATATCAATAAAGCTTCACGTAGGATCTGGATCAGGGAAGATAAAGGATGGATAGATTCTGCTTGTGGAGGTGGATTAGAGTCCCTACAAGCAAGAACAAGGGCAGAAATGTAGCCCTTCTTAAAAAGAGTTAACGAGACCGATTTCCCTAGTCCTGTACAGCTTCTGCTGTGTTCTCACGGGACTCCCCAAGTTATGGCAAGAAAACTGGAAACAGTTGTTCAGAGAGAAACTAGACAATACTTTTCCCTCTCAGGAAAAGCTCTCAGGTATAGTGCCGGCTTAGATTTTGAGCATGTCTGCACATAATGCTACGATATGGTACCTCCAGGAGACTTGCTTGTCACTTCGTCTTCTTGAACAGCCCCTGAGGGCCTCTGTCTGCTCCTGCTGTCCAGCATACTCATAACCTTGTTCTTCATTGCATCTTTGCCGTCGGTATACAAGCACAATCCTTTTCTCCCTCAGATAACTCATAGTAGTTCTTAAAGTGTTCAAATCTGCCTTGTGAATGAGGCCAGTCCAGGCTGCCCTGCAGAATCCCTACCCATCTCCTCCCAGGACTCCTGATTCCATTGCCCGGCTCTGTTCAAAGCCCCTTTCGTCTTCTAACGTACTAATAACTTATTTACAATGAGTGATATTTAGTTTACCTCTCACTAGAATCTAAGACAAGCACCTGAGAAAATGGAAGCCCTGATGCTTGAACAAACCAGTGATGGCTCCAGAAACGGTGGTTCCCTGAAGACAGTTTCTCAGTGTGGCAGTTATAGTCTTTGATCTGCCAATCTGACGCTGTATGTCCATATAATATTCATTTGTCTATGTATTGTGTAAAATTTTTATAAGCTAGATGTGAAAAATAACCTGGAAGCTTTTTATTTAATTTTTTCGAGAAAGGGTCTTTCTGTGTAGTATAACCCTAGCTGGCTTAGAAATCACTATATAAAGATAGGCTGGCTTTGAACTAACAGTACCGGATATCTCCCAAGTGCTGGGATTAAAGGAATGTGCCACCATATCCAGCCAGAAAGCTTAAACACATAAACAGTCCTTTAATACAAACAATTGCAATCATTAATCCAGACCTTTCTGTTGCTTATTCAGTTTTCTGGAGCATGCCACTGTATTTTCCTATTTAAACACAGCTCATCTTTAATGCATCTTTCTTTCTCTCTGACAGAGCATGTGACCAGCTGCGTTGTATAGCCTGTGATTTCCGGATAGTGAGCTACAATGACTTTATGTGGGACAAATCATGTGATTACCTGTTCTTCAGGTATGTTTCTGAAGAATTTCACCCTGTGTCTTAGCATTTGTATTGCTGCCAAGAGACACCATGACCACAGCAACTGTTATCAGGAAAACATTTAGTTGAGGGGACTCACTCACAGCGTCAGGGCTTAGTCCCTTATCATCATGCTGGGAGCATGGTAGCACATAAGCAGGCATGGTGCTGGAGAATTAGCTGGGAGTCTTTGCAGACAACAGGAAGTTGAACTGACAGTCATACTGAGGGAAGCTTGAGCTAAAGAGACCTCAAAGGCTGCCCCATAGTGACACACTTCCTCCAAAAAGGCTACATTTTCTGATAGTGCCACTCCCTGTGGGGGCTATTTTTTTTTTCAAACCACCACCACTCCTTGGCCCTAAAGGCTCATAGCCATATCATAATGCAGAAATGCACTCAGTCTGACTTCAGAAGTCCCCACAGTCTACCACAGTCTCAAGCTGATTTCACAGTTCAAAGTCTTTTCTGAAATACGTAGCAATCTCTTAACTGTAATCCTCCTATAAAAATCAAAATGCAGATCACGTACTTCCAACAGGATATACATGACCATTCCAACAGGGGAGGGAGCATAGCAAGGAAATAGTAGACAAAAGCAACACCAAACCACCTGGGCAAGCTCCAAACTCTGCAATTCCATGTCTGATGTCAAAGTGTTCTTCAGATCTCCAGCTCTGTTCAGCTTTGTTGACTGCAACACACTTCTTCCTCTTGGGCTGGTTCCAGTCCCTGTTAGCAGCTCTCCTTGGCAGGTGTCCGGTGACTCTGGCATCTCTAACATCTTGGGTTCTCCAAGGCAATCAAGGCTTCAACTTCACCGCTTCAAGAAATGACCTCTCTACTAGGCGTCCATTCAGGGATTCTCCTGACACATGCCTAGCCTCAGCGGCTTTATGCCATAGCTCCTTTCTTCTGTCCTTAACTCTAAAGCCAGAACCACATGGCAAAAGCTGCCAAGTTCTGCTTGTTGAGGCTAGAACATGGTCCCTCATTCAGTTACATCCTCACCAGTCTCCTGCCTTTCTCTACCTAAGCTTGACTGTCCTGAAACTTGCTCTGTAGACTAGGCTTGTCTTAAACTCAGAAATCTGCCAGTACTGGCACTAAAGACATGCACCACCATCACCCCTGACTTTAAACTTTTCTTTAATTCACAAATTAGAAATTTAGCTGACCTTGAGATCACTAGTCCCTTTATTCCATTTCTTAAATCCATTTATCACCTTGAACACAGAATTTAGCTCTGTTCTGCTTCCAGGTGCTCTTTTTCTCCTCGCAATGTTTGTTTTATAATTTACTGCTCAGCTTGCTTCTTTTTATTATAAATCCCCATTAGAGTTACCACTAATATCCACATGACAGAGTCTATGCTAGGACGTTTTGAGAATCTTTCTGCCAACTGAATTAATCGAAAACTCTACACTTTATAGCCCCAGGCAGACTCTTTGGACAAGGGCAAAAAGCAGCTACTTTCTTCACCAAAATATCACAAGACCAGTCTCTAGGCCGTAAAATAACATTCTCCTCTGAAGCCTCGCGATCCCCACAGCTCATCAGATCACACTCAGCACCACTGTCTTCCATGCTCCTGCTAGTACGGCCCATTAAGAAGTGCTTAAAGCACTCCACTGTCTTCTGACAGTGACAAAGTCCAACTTCCTCCAAACAAAAACATGGTCAGACCTATCACAGAAATGCCCTAGTCCCTAGTATCAACTTCTGTCTTACTTAAGGTTTTTATTGCTGTGAAGAAACACCATGACCACAGCAGCTCTTATAAGGAAAACATTTAACTGAAGGGACTCACAGCATCAGAGGCTTAGTCCCTTATCATCATGCTGGGAGCATTTTAGCATATAAGCAGGCATGGTCTTGTAGACAACAGGAAGTTGAACTGACAGTCATACTGAGGGAAGCTTGAGCTAAGAGACCTCAAAGCCTGCCCCATAGTGACACACTTCCTCCAACAAGGCCACACCTATTAGTGCCCCTCCCTTTGGGGGCCATTTTCTCTCAAACCACCACATCTTAAAAATGTACCAAGGACTTTTCGTGTCTGCTTGTCCAGTCATGTGGGCCCTAGCTCCCCTCCTCACCTCCTTTCACTCTGTTTTCTGTTGGCCTACATAAGGGTGTGTTCTGAATAAGGACACAGAACTGTCTCACTGATTCTTGTGCCCACAACCTTCGCATGCTCCACACCAGGGCAGAGCTCTGAGAATGCCATTGTTCGGTTGGTTTGGGTTGGGTTTTGCTATTTACTGTCTGCTGGTTAATCTACAAGTGTCTGATTCTCAAGTCATGAACATGAATTGTTATAAGACTTAGGATAGTAAAGCGTGTGTGACATCAGAACAGTAGCAAGCACAGGGCACAAATGACTTTGTAAGTGACTGACTTGGGACATGAGAAATGTGCCGTGTCTCACTCTTCTAGAATGGCAGACATGGGTACTCTCTGGAAACTGAGGCAGGACGACTGTGAGTTCAAGATCAGACTTTGTCACAAAAAAATAGACACCAGTCACTTTACTCCAGACTTTTGGTAGTCTCATTTTAACATTTAATTTACTTAAAGTAGTGATTACTAGGATTATTATACTAAATTATTAAAACTAATAATAATAATAATAAACTAGCTTGTTACATAAATCAGTGAAAAATACAACCTGAGCCCTCAAGATACTAAAGAGTATGTATGTTTAGAAAACAAGAGAATGAAATAACTAGAGAATCTGGTTATCTCAGCCAAGGCGCCAGCCACTGATGCGTCTGTGTCCTGGAACGCCTTAGCGTGTCTCTGGCTCCTTGTCAGGATGCTCTTAGGAACTGGGCTCAGGAGGTGACGAGCACCCACTTCCTGCTTTAAGAGGGAGATGGGGGAGAACATGGCACTTCCGGGTGACAGTGGAGCTGGAGGACAGGATGGTGGGTGCGCTTCCCCTGCAGCACCCAGACTCTGAGCACAGCTGTGGCCGTGGCACTCAGTGGCTATTTTTTATTTATTTATTTATTTATTATGTATACAATATTCTGTCTGTGTGTATGCCTGCAGGCCAGAAGAGGACACCAGACCCCATTACAGATGATTGTGAGCCACCATGTGGTTGCTGGGAATTGAACTCAGGACCTCTGGAAGATTGCTGGGAATTGAACTCAGGACCTCTGGAAGAGCAGGCATTGCTCTTAACCTCTGAGCCATCTCTCCAGCCCCCTCAGTGGCTATTTTTAAAGACACAGAGAGAGGTGAATCGCATGGCATGGTGAAAGTCAGAGAAGTCTGAACAAGTCAGAGATGGCAAGGGCTGGCGCAGTGTAGAGGTCAGCAATAGTAAGGAGTTCAACTCACAGCTGAACACTTCATTTGGAGAGAGGCCTATGCAGACAACAGTTTTGTTTTGTATGTTGAGACAGGGTTTTGCAGTGTAGCTATATCTGGCCTGGAACTTCCTTAGCAGACCAAGATGTTGAACTTGTGGCATTTTCCTGCCTGTTTCCTTGGTGATCGGTTTATAGGATATAGGGGTTTCTATCCCTTAGCTTTTAAGGGATAATAGACTACTATGTAGGGAAAGCAGGCCAGTGGAGAATCATTAGGATTGATGAAGAGATGGTACAGTGACACATGAGTTAAAGTTGTGAATCACAGCAGTGAGAACGGCAGAACGGAGCAGATGTACCAGAGAGACATCGCCAACAGCATCTTAGGACAAGTGCCTTAGTTCACAGATGGAAGGGGCTGAACACTGGATTGCAGATACTGTTGAAACTGTCTCTGAAGCCCTGGGAGGAATTTCAGCTGAACCATGGGATTGGCTGTGGGTACCCAAGAGGGCAGTGTGGAAGAAGCCAGTGTAGAGTAAAGGGTTGTTCTGTTAAGATGTTTTGAAGCTTATGTGGAAACAGGAAGGATGTATATTAAGGAGCAAGCAATGGGGTCTTGAATATTGATAGAAAAGGAGTTTGTGTAGGAAGAGGAGGATCAGAGACAGGCAGGAAGACACTTGGTGTGGTCGTGAGTGCTCACCAGGAAAACGAAGGTGCACTGAACAGGGCTGTGGTCTGAGGAGATTAGGGCAGTGGAGAGTAAATGAAACACAGGGAAGATGGGCATTCATCCCCTGCGGGAAAGCAAGGTGCTTCGTGGGTAGGAGGTTTCAGAGTCGTCAGGTGTTCACAGCACTGCAGGCGCCTGTGTTCATGGTGCAGGGGCACGCCTGTGTTCATGGTGCAGGG